TGTGGTCGTTTCTCTCGCTGTCGTACAGCCGCTCCACTTTGGGGTTCTGGTCTCTGAGACAAACAGAAAAGAGACACAGCGTTGATTAACTGCAGCTTAAACAAACAGCCCAGCACCACATCGGTCCAGATACACCCTTATACAACAGTGCATAAGCAGCGAGTGAATAACATTTTAATGAGCCTGAGACACGAGCAGAGAGAATCGACATGCAATTATTTAGTGGAATAACGTGGCTTAGGTCGCGCTAAATTAATCAGCTGTTCTGCAAATGCATCTCATCTTGCCAGTTGAGAAAGAAAAGATTTTATTCTACTGAAAATTGAACATGAAGATAAGGAATCCAGCAGAGATTACTAACTGGCTGGTCCACGGTGTGCAGAACACCACATCATGATACACTGTAATTAGTTGTAAGTATGTATGGATTACACATTTATGCCATCCTTTCACACAGGCTGCAGAACAATGTGAGGTAATGTGATGAATGTTAATCACGTTAAGCAACAGATCTAAGAGTCTACAGCCATGCTAGAGGCAGTGAGAGGCTTGAACTATAGGCACAGCCGTGCTTTCAGCTCAATGTTTATGCCAACATGATTACAATGCTGATCCATGCATACTGATGTCAAGACAGTTTGTTACCAAACTCAACATCTTTGATTAATCTATTCTGTTAGCTTTAACATTTGCATTAAACAAAAAGGTAATGTCATTTGTTTTGTGCAGATTTGGTCAGAAAATAGATTTTCACAAAGAAAAACTTTGGCGGGATGATAGTAAGGATTCTTAAAGAAATAAACATTTCTCTGTACCACATGTGGTGACAATCCACCCAGTGTTTGGATATATTTATTTTGTATAATAATAATGTTTGAGACATTTTATGAAAAACAGAACATGTAAACTTCATTGTTGTATTAGAGGAGAAAGGGTTCTTAAAATGTGTTCTGATCCCATCAAGACCATAAATGCTTGTACAATTTGTATTTAGAAATTGAGCAAGAAGATAATGAGATGGTTTAATCCGTACCAAAGTCATGGATAGTGAGTCAGACTGAAAGTCCTAGTTACAAGTCGCTGCACGGTTAAAATAATGTACATTTTACCTGTAATGGTTTGTCCATCAGGACTGACCTTTAATTTGGAGGAATTTTGGTTTGTCTTTTTGGTATTTCGGTTTCCCCCAATTATTTTGCAGAAGTTATTTTCTTAAAAATATCCAAGGACAATTTTTGCATCTAACTAGGATTTTTACATCACTGTCATGAGATTACAACTTCAGACTTTTTCCTTACGTTAATGAAAAGCTAGGAAATGTCATTGCATGTTTTTTAAATAATTATTATTTTGTTTGGTTGTCAGTTCTACAGCATACAGTGCATGGCAGCAAGGTAATGAAGCAATAAAAAACTGATCAATCTTACATGACCCTCATGACCTCATTGAGGAAAATCCCATTGGTGAGCCTCATGTAGCGGTCCCGGGTACTCTGGGTTATTGAGTTTACTTCCATGTATTGGCTGTAGAGAGGGACGCCATCCTCTCTCTCAACCATCTTCTCAAACAGCTGAACCTGTGAGAGACAGGGAGGAATCCTGTAGTGAGTTTTGATATTAGGGGAAAATGTGTAGCAGGAGGTGGTAGAAGAGGAGGAAGACAGAGAGAGAGAGAGAGAGAGAGACAGAGACAGGGAGGGAGAGAGAGAGAGAGAGACAGAGACAGAGACAGAGAGAGAAAGCGGGGGAGATAGAGTATTGCAAACATTTCTACAGTGCAGGAAGCCACTTGAGTCGGAGCACCTGTCTGGACAGGTGGGATCTATGCTCTCACACTGGGAAGCACTTCACAGTGACAGGCAACCAGGCAGGACCGCTGCCAAGGTTTCTCTCCCTCCTAAGAAGAGCCAGGCCAATGCAAACAGCATTATAATGAGGCTTATTCCCACCTGTACTTTCTAAAAACTGCACAGTCTGTAAACAGAGCAACCAGCTCGACTATAGGTTCATCTGATTCGGCGAGGAAGAGCAGCTGACGACCCTGTGAGAGTGTAAACTGGGCAGCAGAACAGAACAGAGCTGTTACACTAGATGTCCTTCATCATGTTAAGCACGGCGAAAGCCCTCTTGTGCATAACTAACTGTCCAGCTGAAGTGTCCTTCAGCCACTAAACCTCGGCTGGCTTCAGGCTGTTGAACCTGACCTCTGACCCCTCTTTAGTGGAGGATAACAATACAGAGAACATCCCCTGCAAGGTTCAGCACAGTGTGACATTATATTGTAAACAATGTTCATTGACCAGAAGGGGATATAAATCCCCCCGGGGCGGATTCATTTACCATGTTGAAAACCCAGCAGAGAATTCAGCCTGTTCGAAACACAACAAATCCTACAGACTAAACCCTCCTTGAATTATTTTCAAATCAGAGACAGCCCAAGGACACGGAAGTTGCAATGCCGGGAGGAAAAAAGTAGTCATTGAGAGACAAGGGAAGCTGCCAAAAGGAGAAGTAGGGTGTTTGTTTTGTTCTAAACAATGCCAAGAAAGTATCAATTCTGAATTGAGGACGTTATTTAGCTATTCGTATGTTTGTGTAGGTGTATAACAGGAAGGTACTGCTTTCAATGACACTTTACTTTTCATTCCTAAAACAAGTTTAGTGCAGCAGCGTCTTTGGCAGGTTGCTAAACAGTTTCTTCAGAATATGTTTTCTTTTTCTTTTCTTTTTTTCTCTCCTCTCTTTGCTTCTAAAAATGATGACCTTTCCTTTAACTGGGAGTGATAAATGATAAATGACGTACCCATTGCACCAACGCACTCTCCATGAATTCCTCTATTATCTCCATAATGTTAGAGTCCATTGTGGTGTTAGGAGAGCAGCGGAACACTACAGAAGCTAATTAAAAGTATTTTCAACGCTGTGTATATAATGAATCAAAGTGAGAGAGAGAGAGAGAGAATCCATCATGTAGCGTCAAGTGAAGTGGTTTGACATTTCTGCGGCCCTTCCCCTGCCTCCCCCCGCCTCGCTGCTGTCTCTTCCTCTCTCTCTCTCTCTGACTGTTTGTCAGTTAGTTTCATTGCAAAACCACACCGGAATTTTCAAAAAAGCACATGTTGCGCTTTTTGTAAGCCGACATTATTACACGCCCGCCACACATCACTTAACATTCTCAGAGATCATAAATACTAAAGAAGTATTCCTAAAATGGCCCCAAAAGAAAATAGCATTGGGTTGTGTATGCAAAGAACCTATGCCTTTTTAATCAGGATATGAAGATTTAATGTGATCAAAGCCTGAAAAAAAATCGCTCTATATAGGAGTACGAAATGTTTGACTTTTTTTTTTTTCAAAATATAATCCACGTTGATGTTTTTTTTTCACAGAAAGGTGATTTCCATAAGAAACCCAAGACACCCACTGCACCAACGCACTCTCTCCAAAGAACACTTCTTTAGTGGTACCCGGAAAAAATGACAGAAGTTTTGAGTGGACGTTGCCAAAGCGGCTTCTCCCAATTCAAGTACTGTGTAACAGCGACCTCTGGTGGTGGACATTTAAACTACGCCTACTTGATCGGCTCTTACGTGACATCATTATTTTCGTGACAACAGCAGTGGGGGGGAAGTGTTACTAAGCAGCTCTAATTTTACTTTGGTGCTTCACTTCCTGTATAGTGAAAGCTCTTCTGTTTTTATTTTAGTTCTCAGTATCTGCAGTAGACCAAACAGTATTTCTCATATATGGACTCATCATAGTTAAGGGGTGGGGTTACACATTTATATATGTTTTTTAAGCATAGCGTCTGTGTCTATTTCTACTGAAGGTGTTTTGTGGTGGCTCACAGATGCAAACACATATGACTACAATACAGAAGGTCATAAATAATCACTGCAATTATTTTTTTAGCTCCAGTTGTGGTCTTAACATGTTTTAACATATATATCATATGAACAATGTTTTTTTTGTTTGTTTTATCTGAAATCCAGATTTCAACTACACTCCTCTCTCACACTTTCATACCTGTTTATGATCAGTGTTAATCTGCTTCTTATGAATACAATAACACATTCATGGACTTATTCTGTGACTTTTATTTAAGAACAATGAGCACACATAGTATATATTGGTTCCTAAAGGACAGATCATTGTGATATAGCCTTGTGAATAAAAAGCATTTTTACACTGTTTTACTTTATAATATAACTGGCAACATGTTGTGTAAGTGTGCAGCTGCCTCTGTCCTTGTATGGCAGAGTGTGTTCCTGTTCACTGTCAGTGATGCTTGTGCAGCAGTTTCTGGGATTAACTACACCAGGATTATCAGATTGTTTCAGAGCTGCGCAATAGACAAGATGACAGCTTCATATAGGGCACCACACTCACTCTCACACACACACACACACACACACACACACACACACACACACACACTTTTAATCCAACACTCCTTGCTCAACTCAGATAAACCAGAATGTGTTCCTGCATTATGTACAAAAGAAAGCCAACACTAAAAAGCAGTTAAAAACGTCTACCTTTAATATATAATTCATATGCGGTGCCATTTTAACACACTCCTAAGCATTTCCATTCCAGGTTAGTACAACAGCTGTTAGATGAATAATACAGTGCAAATGGGATAAACTTTACAATCAAGTGATTTCAAATTCGCAAAACTTGTACCAACTGGCATAATATGTTAAAAAATATGTCTTTTTTTGTGAACACTAAATCTTTTCACTCTTCTAGTTACAACAAAAAGTATTACTCATGAGGCCCAGCACCAAGGAGATGTTTGTTTTGGTGTCTGTGCAGAGCCTGATAGGATTTCATGCCTTGTTTTGGCCTTGTGTGAGGGGGGTTACTGCTGGAGAGTAAATCAAGCCTAACATGTCAAAACCAAACAGGTGTTTTACCCGCTCCCAAACAAGAAACCTAGGACCATTCCTCATCTCGTATAACCCTCCCTCCTCAGCTCATATTTCAGTAACTTCCCCTCTAGCTGGAAGCAGTAGTAGAAGCAGCCTTCTCAGTGGTGTTATCAGCAGCTTTCTCTGGGTCTTCAGCTTCAGATGGCTCTTGTGTAGCGCTGGGGTTAACTTGGCCAAACTTGAGCAAGATGAGCGCCTTTACTTTGAGGTCCTCAAAGGTTTCCTTTAGACCCTTCTCCAGGATATAGCCCTCACTGTCCTCTTCTGGATCTTCCAGAGCCATGGCGCTTTCCACAGCTGTCTGCAGGTAGCGCAGGCTCAGAACTACGGACATCTGGACAGAAATAAACAAGGAAGGTTTAAAAAAAACTTCAAAATCAGTGCAAGGGTGCAGTGTTGTCACCAAATAAGATGGTCAATTAGCTTAAAGGGCTGATGTCTAAAACACTGTCTATAGGCCACTAATACAAATAAAGCTATCAATATAACTTTCATTAACCTGATAACTTTAAAGGATGTTCATATTTTAACACACTGCTCTTCACTCTGTGTATGCTTCCCTTCTGCATGTGCTGTCTGAGCTTCTGCAAAGACAAACTTTCCCTAACCTTGTCATAAAGTCCTCTATTTTTTATTTTTTTATTTTTTTTTACAAGTGATTGTAGTTCATTTTAATCATGGGAGAATAAACATGATCATATCAGGCATAACGTTATGCCACAGGGTGACGTGCATGGAGATAAGACAAAGTCAATTTCAGACAATGTCAAAAACATTCACACTTTGAAGGCTGAATGAGGTAAGGAAACGACTGGCAGCGATTAGCGTGTGTGTGTGTGTGTGTGTGTGAGTGTGTGAGAGTATGTCACAGAGGGGAAAGTTTTATTCTTATTAATTCTCATTGATTTTCTGTTTTGGACATCTTTTGTGGACAAGTTAAAAAAAAAACACAAGAACAATGATTTCGGAACATTTAAAACACTATCAATATATCAAAGATTATGTCAATTCTGCAATTTTACAGGGTAAACTTTACCAAAGGAAAAACTTGACATCCAAACAATGATGAGTAAAGATGCAGCCAAAATAAAGCAACATATCAGTTTTGTCCTCGTCAGTGCTGTACAACACATTTATAGTTTTATCATGATCCTCTTTTTCCCTCTTTTGTTTGATCTCAGGCTGCAATGGTGCTATGGTGGACCAGATGAAAACTCCATATTTGTTTACTGAATGTTTTTAAGGAGGTGTTCACACATCCAATTGTCTCTTCAGGTAGGTGCGTAGGGTGACAAACTGACTCGAAAACAATAATCCTGCACACTACTCTTGCTCAGTATCACCAAATTTAAAAAGCAAAATCACAACGTTTCGGTCCCTCTGGACCTTTGTCAAGTGTGTTGATTGGTTTACTGCATGTACAAGTGTCTGATTAGCAGTGTCCTGTTAAACATGTGTATAAACTTCCTTTTGCAGCCTGAGGTTCTGCTTTATTTCGATAGAATGTGACATCAATACTTATATTTGTCGAGGGATTTAAAGTACTTGTTCATAACAGGAAACCAATGATCAATGTCAAAGTGTGAAATCAATGTGTGGCATTGAGATTTTCTTCCGTTTCAGTTGTCATGGCAGTCTGTAGCCTACATCAGTAGACAACTGTTAGTTCAATTGATCGGATAGTTTCTTCTATTTTACTTCATTAAAGTGATTGAACTGTTGTTTTCACTCCATCCTGTAACCTACCTGTATCAAGATGACTGACAGCACTCCAGGACCAGTTGAGTTCATCAGGCCCATGTAGTAGTCAATCAGGGCCTGCCTGCAGCCACGGCTGTGCAGGTTGAGCTCCTCTGATTGGTAGTCGTAGCTGTGGTGGGCACTGTTATCGGTCAGTTGGTTCTGGAGGCAGGGGCGAGGGGAGCGCGGGTTACAGCAGCTGAAAGGAACGCCGTCCAACAGGTAACGTCCGTCCACGTTACTCCGGATACGACTGAAGAGAGACGAGAGAGGGGGGACAAGTGATGGGAACAGATTATAAGGGGATTTTAATCATTTTATTGGAGGTTAACGCATACCATTTCAAATTCAAAGAGATTAATGGCCTTAATTAAGCTTAAACCCCACTCTACACTCATGATAAATGATCAGTGCTTCTGTTGAAGTGTCATCATGTCATAACCTTTCTGTTAACTCATCCCTTTCTCTTATTTCATCTTTAACTAACCTTTCTGTGCTCAGTTCATGACCAACCTTTCCATCTATTCTGCCTTTCTCTTCAAAAGTAAAGGCCAAATCTATTTTTAAAACACTCTTCCACTACATTCACATCATTCTTTTTCCCCTAGCATTCCCCTCTCTTTTCTTTATATTGTCTGACCTTTTTAAATGTGAAGTCTAATTATTGGTCATTCATTAAGTGCTCTATTTCCATCTTTTCTCTGTCCTGTGAACCATCATCAGTCTAGTGTCTCCAGTATGCTCTTTTCCTTGTTGTGTTTGCATTGTGATGCACTCACTCTTTGACATCCTTGGAGGTGAAATCCAGATATCTGTTGCTCACCCACTGAACCTCGAACCAGTCTTTGAAATTGCTGTTTCCACAACACTGAAACTCCATCTGCAGACGATCAATGGTCTCTTTCTGAAAACAGCGGCCCGGCACATCTGTGTCCTTGTAGAAGCGAATGCCATTCCTCAAGCCGACCTTACAGCAGAGAGAGAGACAGAGAGAGAGAGAGAGAGAAAAAAGAAAATGAGAAAGAATATGGGGATTTCACTGCACTGTATGACATGCAGCTGTTTTCTGTCTTTTTCAAAAAAAAGTTGTTTAGTTTAGTTTAGTTGTTTGTTTTTGCTCGAGGTACAGAAAACCCCACTTTTACTTAAGAGACACTCATTCTAACACCGTCCAATTACTACCAAGCCGATCGATCCCACCTTCAGGGACTCCTCCAGGTGCCCTGCAGGGCATAGCTGAGAACCACCACAGCGAAGAGCAGAAAAGACAGCATCGTGGCTCCAACAAACCAAGCCAGCAGGAAAGCTTTCCATCGGGGGAAGCGGCTTGGGTCCAACGAGTCCTGACACACACGAGTGGCAACCCAGTTGGTGCCGATGGAGGCCAGGCCCACCAGCATCAGGATGTTGGGCACCACATGGATCTCTGTGTTGTCCATCACCTCAAGAAAACAAGACCACAGTCAAAAAGGGAAGCAACATATCATCATATCATCAGCCAACCGGAGGTCACTTTCTCTTTTCACTCTCCTGCATTCAATTAGCCTTATCTGTTCTGAAGAGGACCTCGCCAGCCAAGTGCTTCAATTAATTGCTGATGCAAAAGCTACTATGGAAGCATAATCACAATGTAATTCATTGCCCTGCTCATAGAAAAAGTCAATTATGACTGGGTTTATTATTGGATGACTTTTCAAAATTCTGTCAGCCGTAAAAAGCAACTTTGTTGTTTTAAAATTAGCATTTAAAAGGCCTTCACCTTCTAACATTATCATCCTTTTATCTCTCCAACCAGAAAACATAATTACAGAAATAATATGAAGTCATTTTCACTCCCTGTTGAACAATAATGCCTGATGATGATCTGTAAAAGTGCAGTAAGTGAAGTGCAAACCAACTGTCTAAATGATGCATTTGTCCAAAAGTATAAACAAAGACTAAACTATTGTAAATGCTGTCTGTAAGATCTTTAATCCTCCTGACACTATTATGTTGTTGAGAACAGCTCAAGTGTTTCCTGCTATTTATTCCCTCTGATGCATCTCTACACTAAAGCAATGACACTTTGCAGCACAAATAAAAGATTATGAAGCCTGGTTCTCTGACAGGACATCAATAAATATCTGAAGGCATGTCTTCATGGCCTGAAGCTTTCCTGTGCAGCCTGCTGCATATCAATGCATCCAACCTTTTCAGATCAATCAGTAATCAATCCAAACCAATGAGCACTTGATGTGAACAAACGCATCAATGTGTTAGAGGTCATCACTTCCACCTACTTGTCGAGTGACCCCAATTCAATACACAATTAACTTCAGTTGCTTAGTGAGAACATGCAGATTTTAATATAAGCCTTTTATGAATCTGTTTGAATGTCACTGTGTATATTTACACACGTGTTGTAGCTGTGTGTCGTGTGTTTGTATTGGTGGATTACTGTAAGATGTAGAGATACATATGAATCAAAGGCAGCATACAGCAGACAGTCAAAAATCATAACTTGAAGAGCAAAAGAGCATGTTGTATTTTTGTAATTAATGCCAGTGTTTTAACTTTCAGCTGATGTTGCATCTATTTGCATGTGTTTATTTCCCTCTCTCTACCTCGGCCCTGCGGAGCAGCTCTGTCTTAATGTAAACACCCAGACAGAAGACGAAGGTCCCGCACATCACAGCCAGCCAGGAGAGCAGCCACAGGCCCTGCGCCAGATGCACCCGCCGCTGCTGGGTGAACTTCATCTCCAACAGCACCATGGCTCACAACTGTGCACAGACCAACACAAAGACCAGAGAGCAAACAAAGATAATAGATGGCTGGAGAGATGAGAGTGAGTTCAGTTAAATCTGCTCGAAAATGTGACTGTCAGTCCAGAGGTTGCCAGCTGCATGTAGGAGACATTCAGGTCAGAGGCTGGTGGTTTTAATGGAGCAGAAATACAGTTGTCAGTCCAGTCCTTGAACGTATTGTTTGTTTAGTTATTAGCAGGTTGAGCTCATCTAAGTAGTTCCAGGTGGAAGCGATAAGCAGGTAGATCCCCTCTACAATGAAGGACACCGTCGACTTCGGATGGATAATCCAAAAACGTTTCACTTGTTTGCTGAAAGCGTTCCAAAAATATAATCCAAATCTGTGCAGAGAAAAACTTGAAAGTAAAAACATGTATTTAAAAAAAGAGAGAAGAAGAGAGAGATGACTTATTCCAGAGAAGACAGGTTTGTCCCTCAAGTTAATTGCTGAAACCCCAGTAGTTCCCCCCCTTCAAGAAGAAACCAATGATTTCTTCCTTTTGATGGGATGTTTCCTTTTGATGGCACCCCTCTGTAATATGTATGTAAGGCCCCCCCCCCTAAACCGCTTCAGCCATGGTTGGAGGACAGAAAGACTGGCCAAAGTTGAGAGTTTGGAGCCATAATCCCCAAAGAGAGTCCCTGGGATCCTATTAAAGTCCAGGGACCAATAGGAAAGCAGGCCAGTGTCTGATCAGCAATCTTGTTCCGACGGCCACATAGTAAGGGAGGGACTATTAGACAATTATGACAGGTGGACTTACCTGGAATTCCTCTAGCCCAACCTATGAATGACAGACAAATATCCTTTTCCCTTAAATACAGCCAATTGAAGGAAATGAAGAAGTATAATGTACCCTTAGTTAAGTCTTGCAATCAAAATCTTATTGAAGAATCAGAATCAGAAATATCTTATAAATGCCTGGGGGAAATTCAGGAAAACTCATGTTTTCGATGTAAATATATTAATTCAGCTGAAAAATTACCCCTTTTTAAATTAAATTCTTATCACACAGGTAACATAATTTGATTGTCAATTTTTGATTGTACTATGGATGGTGGAAGTGGAGCTCGTTCATGTTTGGTAGTGTCTTCAATAGGCTATACTATTGTTCCCAACCCAGGGGTTGGCCCCTCCAAAAGCTCACAAGTTAAATCTTAGGGGCTATGATTGAACTATTGAGAGTGCAGAAGAAAGGTCTGAAACCCCGTCAGTGCTTCTTTTGGATTCTATTGTTGTAGAACATCATTATTTTTAATTGAATAATGCAGAGGGTAATGTTTGTGTGTGTGTGTGTGTGTGTGTGTGTGTGTGTGCGTGTGTGCGTGTGTGTGTGTGTGTGTGTGAGTGTGTGCGTGTGTGCGTGCATGTGTGTGTGTGTGTGTGTGTGTGTGTGTGTGTGTGTGTGTGTGTGTGTGTGTTGTATGTTTTATTAGTTCAGTTGTATCTTTGCTCTTGTTCTGTGGAAAACATTTTTCCCTTGGGAACAATAAAGTCTAAAGTCTAAAGTCTTGAACATCAAGCAAAGTGAAAGTAAGACAGAATGGGATTATGGATGCAATGCTGTAGGGAGAGAGGTTGGTTGGGCAGGATCAATAGGATTAACTGTTATTAAAAGTATTTATGACCGCTTGAGTCAATTTGAAGCCAGCCTCATGTTAGCAGCAGTTACAACACATCACTTTCACTTACATCTACACATTTGAATGATCTTTTAAAGCACCTAGTAGTCACATGTATAGTGGGAATGATTTTAAGGATTGCTTATGTTGAATTAATGAGCAAACTTGTTAAGCCCTCTAGTGGCAGAGATGGAAATGATGGTCCAGTCAGAGTCATATCTCAACATTTGGTGTCCCCGTTGGCAATATTTTTACTTGCAAACCATGAATAATTGACAGAAGTAATCTGAGCTGGTGCATTAATTTAACATAAATAGCTTTATTGGTAGAACAGCAGTAATGACACGGTTACATTTTAAATGAATGTAGAACAACATTATTCATAATTGCACAATGTAGAGGGTGAAGTGTACACATAATGAAACACTGGGTTCATACAGATTACAATAACATTCAGATGTAGCTGCTGCACCGTATACAGTTTGCATTCCCTTATTACCTTTAACATAATTACAGCTTCAGACACATAACTATTAACACTTGGAATGGAAGGGCCTCCCCATTAAAGACTTCATATATATATATACACAAACACAGAGTCATTATTTATTTACAAAAATATATCCTTGTAGATTACTAAAATTATACATATATTCAAAAAGTATGTGTCAATTAAAGCTTTAAATATTTTTTATTATAACTTTATGTAAATTAAGAGCAGCCTTTGTTGGCTTTTCAGAACATCAACATCGTTCATAAAGTAGTTAGGGAACAGTGCGGTGGGAAAAATATCAAGAGGTATTCTGCTTGGCTGAAATATGACTAACGAGAGAAGAAATCAAATCTCTTTCACTGAAAAAGCAAACGATTAGGAACTCAGAGAAGTGAGTGAAAGCAGAGCAATCAAGTTTTATGAGCTGAGTGAGACCCTCTTGGCCCTGCACTGTGATGGTTTTGAAAATGGGTTTGAATTCATTCTTCAAGAACATCAGTCTTTGTCATCCAACAAGCATTTTTTTTTTTAAGTTCACCCATCAATGGAACATTCTTCTCATAAGAAAATCTGATTTAAGGTTTTTGTCTTCATTTGTTCTGTTTTTAAAATTTGTGTGACTGTGTTTATTTATTTTATAATGAAAATGTTTGGATGAGTTTGCTCTATTTCTTCAAACAGACTCCTCTTGAGGCGTTAAGGCCTTTTTCATCCTAACTATTGACAACCGTGTTGGGAGGAGGGTTACACCGTAAAGGAATAGACATAGAAAAAAGCTAAACATATTAATGACTTCTTAATTGACAATGTATCTAAAAAGCTAAAAAGTCTACATATGACATTCAACAGATCTTTAATTGCCTGTTTTTATATTGTTACCCGTTGCTATTATCTATGCATTAACTGCGAGGCAAAAAGTGTTTGCCTCTTATATAGCAAACTATTTTTATCCAATCTACTTCTTCTAAAATCTTCCAATTTGCCATTTTTTATATTTTTACATCAAGCAGGGATTTCCTTTCCCTGTATGGCTTCTGGCTTTAAAACTTTCTTTGAGCATGTTCAGTACAATATATACAAGCTGTAAAAAAGATTTTTCTCATCTTTAGCAGAACAGTTACTTTGTGGATAAAATAGATACATATATAGATGAAATAAAAAGAGAACATGGGTCTTGCCATGCTGTTGGGTGGCACTTTCAGTCTGAAACTTTGCCTATTTTGTCTGTTCCACCCGCCCACTACTGCCCAGCCTGGTGCTCCTTTCCTCCACCTCCTTCTGGGCTTGCAGCTGCTGCATGAAGTCATCAAGGATCTGCTGAGCGGACGTGGACGTCACATCCACAATGTCCTGCTCCACAAGGGTCACTTTTACCCCTCCATTTCCCATCCAGTTGTCACCGCCCACATGGTCCTGCTGGAGCTTCGGTGGGGCGTCAGCATGGTTGGTGCTGATTTGAGGCTGCTGCTGACTTTGGGGATAAAGAGCTCGGGGTCTGGCAGCATAACTGGCAGCCATTTTCTTATAGATGGCAGTGCTGATGTCATTTACAGAGAAAGGTGGGCTGTGCCTGGACTCGTGCTGGTCTGAGAGACTGCTTTCATTCCCTCCCTGTTTGAATGGTATGAAGGCTGTGACCCTCTGCAGACCTGCCTCTGATTTAGCCAGCCAATCCTGTGCTGCTGCGTCCTCTTTTGGAGTGTTTGACTGGTTGTCTGCTCGTGGTGGCTCACTAGAATGGTTGTTTGTGCCAGAGGTCGTCAGCAACTTCTGTATGGTCTCAGCGGAATTAAAGTGCTTCTCCAATAACTCTTTTATCAAGCACGGCACCTGATGATAAAACACCAACACAAACATTACTCCTGAATGGATCCGCCCCCCCTTATCTCCCACAGTGCTCTGTTTGACCTGCACTGTCCTTCAATCTCTATTTCAACACAGTTTTAGTTAGACCAACTTGTCACATGGTTCCACAATCAATATATGTTTAAAATATCCTACATTTTACTAAATATGTAGAATCACAGATTTTAATAAAGAGAAGCGAATAGGAAGAATGAAAAGATTTCAGCATGAACTTTTAGTCCCCAGATTTCCTACCTAACTGACTAAAACAATGTCATTGTATATAAACTCTTAACGCTCCAGCTTGAGCAACTTTCACTGAAAAGTCATGCTCACACATTTGATGCATCCCTGTGAAAAAGCTTAAAATTTAACATGTAACTTTAAATCCGCTTGGTTTTTACTTCAGTATAGGTTTTAATGCATATTTAATTTGAATATGCATCTTTACATTGTTGTTGTGTCTGTACTTTTACAGAAGTAAAAGATCCAAGCAGTTATATATCAAATATATTCAGAATATATTGCATGTAGGAAGTAGGAATATGTTGTGAAGATTATATCATTTTAAAGTTCTGCTGATCTGCTACAAAGCTGTGGACCTACAGTAGCTAAAGTTTGTTGTGGTAGTTTCATTCCCAATCTGTGCTGAGCTCTTTGACTGATTTATTCCCATACTTGATTCATGTCTTTGACTTAGATGATCCTCTTTTCATTCTTCCTCTTACCTCTGTTATATATTTATGTACATTTTGGAGGAGCCTTTCCAATGACACCTCATCTGTAATTGTTTTGCACATTACAAGTGAAGTTGATTCTATATTTGGGGCTCTTGTCCCTATGCTCTGATAGCCTCTTCAATAATTCATCTATGCATTCACACAGAGTGGAAGAGCATTCTAGAAACACACACAATAGATTTCCTGGTGACCACTATTTTATCATCGTAATGTAAAGCTAAAAAAAAACACACACACACACACAATTGGAGGAGTAATTAAAACACAGGCTTAAACATGTTAGCAACTACAAATAAATGTATCTATATTTGTGCATTTGAATCATATTTTAT